CCACACACAGTGATGGCAAATTTAGTCAGAAAGAAGAAAGTTAAAGAGTTGATTTTTTTGGAAAAAAAGATGAAATTCGATTTTATCCGAATTTTAGCAACATAAAGTTCGATTTCAAAAATTCGCCATTTTAGAGCTTAAATTCGAATATCGAAGTTTCGAATATCGAATTTACCCATCCCTAATTAGTACTCACTATTGGTTACGATGGCTTTGTTTCTTTTCTTTTCTAGCAGATAATAATCAGGAAGAAGAAGAATGAGGAAATTGAAAGAATTACGCTCACAGAGAGCGAAATAACGAAAAAGTAAAGAAACGCAAAACTAGCAGAAACTAGCAAGTAATCAGCTGATCGGTGTATTTGACTATTGAAAAATACTTTCACTATTGAAAGTATTTGGCGCGAATTTTTGTTTATCCATTTTGACAGCTGCTAGTTTCTGCTAGTAAAAATTTTACTAGCAGAAATTAGCAGGAGAGCCAAAAAAAGAAGAGCTAAGATCGAGAGAGAGCTGCTAGTTTCTGGTAGTTTTTTGGGTTAAGAAACGCTGTCCAGCAGAAATTAGTGATAATTTGTGATAATTATCAGTTGAGAAACAAAGCTCATGATTCAATAATACAAGGTTAAAGTGTGTTTGCATTGTTCAACTTTGCGTTCAACATTTGCGTTCAACTCAGCGCAGGGTTGCACGTAAAAAAAAGTTGAATGGCTAAAAATGTCAAAATATGAAAAAATATCAAAATATTCGCCATAAAAAGGTGTTTGCATTGTTCAACTTTGCATTCAACTTTTGGTTGAATGGCCTTTCAACTAATCGCTTTCAACAAAGTTGGTCGCCAGCCAACATTTAGGCATTCAACTTTTTTTCGTGCAACCCTGCGTTGAGTTGAACGCAATTGTTGAACGCAAAGTTGAATAATGCAAACACTGCTTTAGATAATTATTGACAGCTGCGGTTTGATACTCCCTTACAAAAGGTTGCATTTACGGAGGACAGAGAAAGGGCAAGAATGCAAACCCTTGTATCGAAAATGGTAGTAGAAAAGTACGCAAAGTAGGCAATTAGTAGCGAAATTCCTTTCGCAAATTCTAATGTATTTGCAGGAAATCTGGCATTTTAAATGAAATGTTGAACGTAATATTGATATATCTACGTGAATTACGTAATTTATATGCTATTTGGCCGTATAAAAACTGCAAAATGACTCAAAATTTAAATAAGACTACTATGAGACTGATGTAAACATCCAATGCATATGTTTTCATCAGTTAAATATGCTTCATATGCATATACAAATAAAGATATTGCACAAAAGCTTATACTTTTATTTCACACCAAAGCTACACTGTTTCCATGTAAAATTGCAAAGAAGCAACACGGTGCCACTGCTAAGGGAGCGGTGCGAGAGAGACAACTGTCAGTTTATCGAACCTTGTATTATTGAATCATGCATACATATATGGTTAGAAACATGAACGAAAGACACAAGATCACGCGGGACGGAAAGAACGAAAAAAGTTATTTTCTAGCTGCCGAAATCTCGACGCCATCTTTGCTGTAAGAAGTAAACAACGAAGAGAACCGAGAAAACCGCGAAATTGTTGAACGCATGAAAAATCATTTTTATTATGCAAATTCTTCTAAAAATCATGCCGTTGTGTTAAATTATTCTTTATCTTATGTGTACACACGTTGTCACAAGCGAAAATGAAGAAAATTGCAGTAAAAAGCCACCACCAAATTGTAAACAACGAAGAAATGTAAATAACCGGCTAATGTCAAAATCGTTCAACTTTTTTCCTTAATGCGAATCTAACGGGCTAGTCTCCTGCCCGCGTGATCTTGTCTTTTTGGTTCATGGGTTAGAAATAGCGAACGTGGAATGCGCCTACGGGCTCTGTCACACGGTAGTAATTAACACGATATTTGGACCGCGATCCATATTGATGGATCGCGCACGAATGCTACATGTTCAATATTTATCGCGTCAGTATTTGCATAATTTTTGTGCTGAAAGCTTATTATGACGCAAGAAAATATTTTTATTTTGTACGTATAATTTACAGATAAGCATTCCACAATTATTTTAAACTTTCCAATGTTAATTAAAATTTTTTTTGCAATATTTTAAGCCCCGAGAGCGAAGGCAGAGCCGATGTTCGCATTATGAGAGTAAAAGATGTACTGACGAAATGTATGGATCGCGTTTTGAAAGTGCTACACGTTCAATATTTATAGATGGTATTGCGATCCGCGATCCAGATTTCAAAATTTTTAGAAATTTTGCGATATGGATCACGATCCATCAATACTGCATGCTACACCGTCAATAAATATCGCGATACTTGGATCACGTCAATAAATATTGACCGTGTGGCAGTGCCCTACTGCGGTACTGGAATAGACTATAGTTTAACCACTCTGTGTCGGCCATTTTCAAGTGGTGGTAAGTTTTCTGTGCTTATTGGCTTTCAAACATCGAAGTGTATTTGATTTTCATGGAAAGGCTGTTCGTTAGAGAATTACAAATGTATGTGGAATGTTTACATATTTTGTAAAAAATAGTTTGTTATCGTGTTTATAAGAAAAAAAAACTTTCGAACTGCATTTTATCAAATGGCTGTCGCCATTCGAAACATAAAAGCACCCCTGATATATACGTCGTGGTGAATTTCTTCTCTCAGCTCCCGTAGTTTTCAGCAAAGTAAAAACAAGTATTTTTTTGGAGTTGTTTCACAGGGAAGATTATAATAATAAATATAGTTAAAGTCCGTGCTCAAAACTCGTGATAGCTGTGAAATATAGTTTAGCTTTTATTCTAAGGGGAAAAGATGAACTCTTGCTTGCCAGTGCTTATATCAACAGATGCAATGCATGGCTTCCTGAGAGACAAACAAGCTTGGGAAAATGCTATCTCGATTTATCAAGGTCCTGATCCTTTGGATCATTGGTATAACTACATTTGCTGGTATGAAAATCATTTGAGAGGTGATCCGGAAAATAAATTTCGCGAAACTCTTGAACGCTGTCTAGCCCTGTTTGAACACAGTGATTTTTACAAACAAGATTTGCGAATGGTACGTCTCTGGTTAAAATATATTGAAATGCAAACACATCCACTGCATTTCTATCAAGTCTTATACCAACGCGGTGTTGGCAGACAAGTAGCGGCTTTCTATATTGGTTGGGCAGGATACTATCAGTCTATTCAAGCACTAAAAGAAGCGGAGTCAGTATTCAGCCTAGCATTTCAAGAAAAGGCGCAATCCTATGACGAACTGAGTCATGCACATAACAAGTTCTTATACATGCAAACTGCTGCCGCACACATAGCGATGCATCACCAGCAACAGCTGCCTGGGCTCCAGTTAACCCAACATCAACAATCTCCTCAAATTCATTACCAGCAGCTGGAATGTGTTCATCTTCTTACACATTCACAGCCGCAACTTCAACAAGAGTCGCACACGATACCACACCAGACTGCACAAATGGAATCACAGGGGCATACACCGCAGCTCCAGAATTTTCACAGACAGCAAACAACCGCGACAGCTTCGAATTCCTATTATCAACCACATGCGCATGCCAACATGGCTGTTCAGCAGGATCAATTGTACCAACTGCAGGCTTACCAAAATGAATTAAATTTTCAAACTCAAACAGAACACTCGACTATAACAAACAAGGTTTGCCAATACATACTTTGATTTGTGCTTTATTTTACATATCGGCGTTTAAAGTACAAAACCGCGTATCGTCATTCTGCAAAACCGCGTAACTGACATTGGCTGCCAAAAATTGACTTTGCTCACACAAGCTCTTGGCTCAGTCCTTATCCATTCGTCCTGAAATATACTAGCCAGAAGTGCTATTGCTTTATAAAAAAGAGAACCATTTTGAAATATGAGTGTTTTTACTCTCTAGAAATAATTTATGCAACCTCACATACGCGGTTTTGCATTATCTTGATACGCGGTTTTGTACTTTAAACGACGATATATATATTCACAAAATAACATTATATCACAGGTTAATGGATCCACACGTACAGTGCACCCAAGTGATTCAGAAGGTAGTTGGGGTACTGCACAAGAAAAAGCTACCAAAGGAAATTATTGTAATACGTATGAAAAAGCGGCCTGTTCTGCTCCTCAAATAGACCAAAGTCGAGCAAATGCAGTTGAACTTCTCGTAACGAAGTTAAGTTCAACATCTTCACCAGTAGGCTCTTGTAAACTGCCGCGAAAATTTGCTGCTTACTGTCGTAATAATTATGAAACTTGGAAACCTGCACTTTTTCTAGAAGAACCCGAAGATCCAAATCGTCGTTGTCACTATGCAAAACACTTTGTATATCCTGGCACAGGTGTAGAATATAGCCCTGAAGAATTGCGCGCAAAAAAGTATATTACGTGTGTAACTCCATCGAACAGTACAAAGCAAGGTACATATCAGTGTACAGAAAATGAACGTAATGGGCAGGAGCTACAGGAAATTGGATCTCTTCAGCAGCAACAACAAAGTATAGATGAAGGATCATTGACAGAAATTGCTGATAGAGCGCACACTCTTAGTCATAAATATCGAAAAAGTACATGTGAGAAACTTGGATTAAATGGAGCTGATTTAAGCGATCACAATCTCCAAAACACAATTAGTCACGCACAAAAAAATATTCAGCAACGTTCTGCTCACAATCACAACCTAAATGAGGTGCAACAAAAGCTGCTTCAAGAAGACCGAAAATTAATTTACGAAACGGGAAACACTTTGGACGATTTAGAGGATCAAATTGGAGCCTCTACAATTCGGCTGGGAGAAAAAAAAACTATTAAAATTAAGTTTAAGAAGGAGCCTCAGCAACAAGGGCACACTTTAAAAGGAAACAATTATGTTATCGAAGGAATATACCAACAAGAGGTAAAATATATTTTGTTTTGTACTGTGCAGGCTGATCTATTCCTTGTTAACCCTATCGTTGATAATGGAATTAATTTTTAAAATGTATAAAAAACTTTTCTCCAATTTGCCGTGTGCTTCTTGTCAGTTTTTTACATTAACCGTTTACATCTTAACTACAACTTAATAGGGTTGAAGCCCGTCTAAGTGGTCCGACGCGTTCGATCGCAAGTACGCGAATGCTTGTTTGTCTTGTCCGTTGTTGTTGTTCTTGTTGTTGTAGCAGCTACAACAACCCCGCCCAGATCGGTTGGTATCTCAGTCGTTGTCGTCAAGTTC